TTAATACCGTCTGATACTAGCTGAAACATACACGAAGAGAACAGTCAGGGACTGTATTTAGGCTACATAAATTATGATCTAACAAACACACCTCAACTGTCGCTTGCGTTTCTTGGTTTTTCCTTGCCGATTACTATGGCAGGCGTCACTTTCCTCCTTAACTCGTGTTTCTCCTGTAAGGAATTCGTGACAAAAGAGGTTCAGAAAGATGAAAAAAACTAGAAGATGTCAGAACTTGCCGTGATCGGAGTGAGATTTTGAACCGCATTTGACTTTTTTGCGTTGAGAACCTTGATTGATGGACTATTGGTACTCGAATTAGAGAACTGCTTGAGTCCCACTCGTATACTAGCCATTCCTTGAAATATTATCTATGAACACCCACCTTTGACAGAATGATTGCGAAAAGTTGACACAAGTAGTAGGTGAAATAAAACACCAACTAAAACGACCTCACACAACTAAGAAATGAAATTTATAATGTACATTCAATATACACGAAAAAGTTTCATTGAATCACCCGGAAACAATGTTTTGGGAAGTTGACTGTATCAAAGGCCAAAAATGAAACCTGCAACAACATCACTCTATAGAATGTAATACTTATCAATGTGCTGAAACAACAATTCAACGAAAACTATGAAAGGAAATATGGCGCACATCTTAGAAGAAAGCAAAGCACCTTCTGTTGTTGAAAAAAAGGAATAGTTTATACGATATCAAAGCGAAGAAACCTAACAAAAAAAAAAACAAATGATGAAATTCACATAGTATTAGATAAGGCTACTTTGGCTGCTGCTCTCCGTCTTCGGGTGGACCCGAATCTTCGGAGTCCTCCGAATTTGAAGAATGCTCTGCAACTGGTTGTACAGCTCATCATGTTTCTTGTCCATTGCCTGCTTTTCGAGGATGTTCTTTTTCGTCAACAACTCGATCTTTAAAAGTAATGATTAGAAAATGTAGCTCAGTAGGATTTCTGAAGATTTGCTCGGTTGCACACGTGTGCTCATTAGATGTTGACGACATTCAGTCGAGATCACTCAATGCTACAACTTTCCTTCTATTTGTGAACTATTTGAAACTCTTTCAATATAATATCGTACGCTGTGTGCTAATCGAGAGCGATAAGATATTAAAATTAATTAAGAATAATTATTTTGATTATATTTAGAATCGATCAGAGAAAAATCCTAAAATTGTAACGTTGTCAATGTCAAACTGCGGCTTAGGGTATAGCGCTAGTACAGGGACGTATATATTCATGAGGATTGACCCAAGTTTTTTTGGCAGACATCAAAAACAAGCTTCCTTCATGTACAATCCATAAACAGCATGGAATATATTGTACAACTGCCATGCTAGGGGACTGTCCACATCTATGGTTTATGACGTGATAGCTCAGCCCGAAGGGAAAAAACATCCGCTGTAAAACTGCTGCTATAGTTATAACTATAGCTGAAAGAAATCCGGAATAAAGCACCTCTGTGGCTAGTAATGTTGAATCTCTCACCTTCTCAATTTCTTCCCTTATGCAATCAAGTTCACTAGCTCGCTGTATCGCAACTGCACGCCAGAAGAACACATCAGGACAATCGTCTAGAAATCCTCTTTACCACTGGAGGAAATTGAGACTTCGGTAGCAAGGGCAACGTGATCGCATGAAATCTTGAAATAATAGCGAGTATCAGGTTTGAGATTGAGGAAACGCAAGTTTTTCACGCGATTCAACTGCAATAACAGCGGTAAGAAAATACGACTGCATGACTGGATGTTTCTTGGCTGCTTCTTAATCGAAGCGCTCTCATGAAAGATTGGGTAGAAGTGGTATAGGCTTACCATAGGTACGGTCCGGTGATCACATCTTGGACGGCGCGCCACCCATGTCAGCCGAGCCTTCAGCACTAAGTCAGCACTGGTACCGCACTTGTCTAGGAACATAAAGGCAACGGCTTGTACATGTTCTTGCCCCCCGCAAGCACCATTTAGACCAGATGATAATCAAATGCAACTACGTTCCCGAATAGAAGCAGCAAGCGTGGCGCATCCCCAAAAAATATTTGGTTTTGAGTGATTCATCACTTTGCCTTTGAATGAATCAGCCTCAATTTGTCATCTCAGTGAACAATATCGACTATCTTGGAATATAGAAAAAAGCCCGCATAATTTCCGAAAATTTCCGGCATTTCTTCAGTCATCATGATTATTACAGCAGCTTCGTGCTTAGAAGTTCTGAATAGAAAATAAAATTAAATTCAAAATGGCAGCATGGGCATTACCGAACTATTTAGCATATGATTTGCATGCTTCTATTTTCAGGTGAAAGCTGCCCACGTACAGACTGTTGTTACAACTATTGAGAAGTCATCTCCAATTACTAAAGAGGTACAATTATCCATAGTTGAGCTTTAGCAAAGCATTGCTTCTCAATAGTTGTGTTATTAAGGACTTGCTATGTGAAGAACCAACATCCTCGTATTGGCGAGTCATGGCAGAGAGGCTAGAAAAGGAAATCGATATCGAGTTGGAGACTAGCTTCAACGTGAGCTTAAAGTTCTTTCGAAAGATATAAACCGCGAAATTCTACTGAGTGCATAGTTTGACGTCAGACGTCGTTATTTGTTACTCGGAAGGGTGAGTTTGATTCGTCGCAGTATTTCTATTTCAGAAATCGCTTGAATTGGACAAGTCGTATGAGGAGTTGGAAGAATCAAAAAACCGTCTCAAGGTCCTAACGGATGTTATGGAGGACGTGCTTGATGAGGTCCAGGACAACGAAACAAAAGAAGGAAGTAAGGAAGAAAGTGAATAATTAGTTCTGAAACTAACCTGAGTAAAATTTTCAGCAAGTAGAACCGTTGCTTACCTTAGCTTTCCTTTTTTACGTCTCCACGTTTTCTAATGTGTTTCATTTTTTGTGACCCACATACCTGCCTTGTGGGACACAAAGGATAGAGTATAAAATCCGCTGTGCTTTGATGTTCTCACCTTGTTTTTCCTTTTTTGTCCCAGCTGTATAGATGTAGACCTTTGTATTTCATTTTTCAACTTGCCTTTCAGTTTTATCATTGGGTTGTTTTGTATTAACATTTTTTGTGCTATTATTGGCGGGTTAATCTGTAGAAGTTTGAATAAAAGGCGTTCTGTGCCGTCTTAATACTCTTTTGTTGCGTATTGCTCTACAACAATAGCCGGCTGTGGTAAGATCGCATCACTAAGGTGCATTAAGAGCCCCTCGAAGCTGGCGACCTTTTGCGGTTTGTGGGGTTGCGACAATGAGTAGGCCTGAGAGAGACCAGCGATTTAACGAAATGGCTAGCTCAGAAAGACGCACAGTATCGTCGCGAATCGCGAGGTTTGCTCCCACGGTTTCTCCCTGGGTGTGCTGGCGCCTACCGTAGTTAACCGCCATAAGCACTCCCTAACG